TATTAAAAATGCACATTTTCTTTCTATTTAAATGTATATATTTCTTATATTCCTTTACCCTCTCTACATGAGCGTCTGAAAGTGAGTGTCGGGTCCATTTCATTTTTAATTTTGATGAGGGCATCAAGAACCATTGGACCACATCTAGAATGAGAAAATGTTTTGATGGTTTTGAAGGCAGCCGGATGAGTAAATGATGACAGAATTTATTTATTGGTGAACTGTTCCTTACTTTAAGTCCAACATTTGTGCTTAATGTTTAACATTTGTGTAAATATTGGTGTACTTACGTGTTTAAATTAACCTCATAGGTTTGCATGCGGGGCTTGTCACCAGATGTGTCAGGGTCCCATCTGTAAATCTGGAATTTCTTTATTTTTGGCTCAGGGGCAGGGGCAGGGGCAGCTGCTGTCTGGGCATATCGCACCAGCTGGGGTAGAGAGAGGACAATAAAAGATGGGTCAACATAAGACGGGTGATACTAAATGTTATGAGATTACTGACATTATTACACAAACAACATAATGCTATAGTATAAAATAAAACACATAGCATCCCTCCAACTTTTAATTATGCTATATGAAGTAAAATTTAAATATCATACAAGTACATGACTGTAGTAATCTCATGGCTTTGTAGAGTATGTAAATATATTAATATGTAATGCTCTGTCTTTGGTCTGAAAAAGCTTTCAGCCCCACTTCGAGTCATAGTTAAGCAGAGCTTCACAGCGCCACCTCTAGGTGTACAAGAGAAGTGCGCGAGATGAGAGTTACATCACGCTGTTACTCAACTCACATTGGAATGTACTGTAGTGTAGGCTACATACATAATAAGAAAAGAGAAACCCAACTGAAGACGGTGGTTAAGTAACATGACTAAACACAGGTTAACGCTGGATCTGTCAGCTAACCAGATCAGCCTAATAAACTCGGTATACTCGGTCAAACTTGGTAAGTTCCCAATAAAGCACGAAGGTCTCACAAAATCAAACATTACTCATCGTACACGCGCATTTCTTCTTTTCAATATGCTGACAGGTAAGAACTCGTAAACAACTCACCACCAATGTCCTACAGTTGCGAAAAGCAACAGAGCTGGAAGTAAGAGAAGTGCACGCGAACATCTTCCACTTCAGTGTTGTTAGTTTCGTGACTCGAGCGGCTTCAACCGTTACATATGTAAGGTGCAATCTGCTCCTCCTCCCAATGCAGCGTGAGCGTATATGGGCGTGAATGTGTCCTCCATCAATAAACAGCGACAACAGGACACGTAACTGTACCTTCTTTCGTCTTTCAGTCATCCCACGGTCATAATGTAAAGTCTGGAAATAATGTGGAAAAGTCGTGGTTTCTTTATTGGTATTTATGGTTCCATGAAGAACCATTACCATCCATGGGACCTTTCCATTTCTCAAAAGGTTCTCTATCGTGGGGAAAAAAGGTTCTTTAAATTATTTAAATATTCTTTATTGGAACTAAATGGTTATTTTATGAACTGTTTACTAAAAGGGAACCCTAATTTTTTTTTATGTTAACACATTCATTACTATGTGGATCCCCCATCATAAAAAAAGAACTCTAGAAAAAGTTTCTGATAGAGTAAACAAAAAATCCATATAAAAAACAAGTTGTTTCAAGGGCCACAATCTGTACCTCATAAGATAATAATAATACATTTATTTTATATAGCGCCTTTAAAAGTTGCTTTCTCAAAGCGCTTTGGCAAACATAACAACAGAGAAAACTATACATTGTTTAAATACAAAAAAAAAAAGAATAATCAAGTAAAAGCAATCCTAATAAAATGTTTTGAGAAGAGATTTAAAAGTCACTAATGTATTTTCTTCCCTGATGTCGACCGGGAGAGAATTCCAAAGCTCAAGGAGCATATGAAGAAAATGCTCTATCACCCCTAGAACGAAGCCGTGTCTTGGGAACAACCAAGAGACCACTCTGAGAGGAACGCAGATTACGACGTGGTGTGTAAGGCATTAATAGATCAGTCAAGTACTGAGGAGCCAGATTATGCAAAGCCTTATGGCAGCATAAGGATTTAAAATCAATACGGTACCTGACAGGTAGCCAGTGCAAAGACTCCAAAACAGGGGTAATATGATCCCTAGCCCTGACCCCAGACAATATTCTAGCAGCTGAATTTTGTAGATATTGCAGTTTGTCAATTGATGATTAGATACCCCAGCTAGAAGGCCATTGCAGTAGTCAACACGTGAAAAGACAAAATAGTTTATCAACCTCTCAGAAGGACAACAAATGACGTAAACATGCTATATTTCTGAGGTGATAAAAGGATGTCTTAACCGTATTCTGCACAAAAGGCTCTGATGACAGTGTGGTATCAAATATATATGACGCCAAGTTTTTTTAATTTGCCTTGAAACTCCAAGGCAACACCATCAACAGACAGAGTGAGAGACCCAGCCTTTCGCAGTTGATGAGAGCCAAGGAGCATAACTTCTGTTTTCGAGCCATTTAAAGACAGAAAATGATTAAACATCCAAATATTGATCTCAGCTATACAGTTCGAAAGATGCACAACGTCCACTTGCTGACCCGGTCTTGAATGGATATAAATCTGCGTATCATAAGCATAAAAGGGATAGTTAAGGTCAAGAGATCTTAATAATCTCTTGATGATATAAGATGATATAAGGAGCAACTCCTCCAAAGATGATATAAGGAGCAACTCCTCCACAGACCTATCGGTACTGGAAGCAGCCTTAAACCAAATTTGAATTAACATTATAGGCATTATGAAACTAAGAGAACTATAGCAGGACTTTACCATACCCTTCATAATGCTGCATATATGAAATGTCAACATCTTTATTCTTCATGATTCAGAAATTAAAACCATAACCTATTGGTCAAACCAAGTTTTTTTTTTTTTTAAATGCCTCATGTGACTCATATGTTTTGTTGTTGTTGTTGTTTTCCCCCATTATGAAAGTCAGTGGTCTCCCGTGTTGTTTTGGACATACACTGACTTTCATAAAAGACATACGGGTTTGGAATGACATGAGTAAATGATGACAGATTGTTCGAACCTTTAAGTTTAGAGAGTGCCTGACTAAATCATAAAACAAATACTCATGTCTGATTAAATCCTAATTGTATACTGAACCCTGAAATGTTGTTAATTTTATCTTATCGTATTTTGTTCTTGAACTCATCTAATAACATTAGCCATTAAATTATTCAGGTTTTTGCTGTACAAAATTTAGCTGATCCACAGCTAAAACACATAGCATTTTAAGATAAATGCATAGGAGCAAAGCACAATGCCAACAGCCTGCCACCTGGCCGTGCATGGCTATAACAGCAGAAAACCTGCTTACCTGTATTTATATCTATGTTTATGTAGTTCCCAGGATGTGAATGGATCTTGAGTGGGATTGTCCTTGTTTGTACGAGACCTCGAGAATTACGGTTGAAGAAGCATTTAAATATCCCTTCAAGGTAAAACTGGGATGGTGTTCATCGGCCTCGTCTCATTTCCACCCAGAGATCTGCAGTGACTCCTGGATCAAAAGCAATCTTATTCAGGCCTCAAGTGGTGTAGTTATCTGTCAAGCGAGTCCCACTTCTGCCAGAAGAGCTTTTAACAAATCCCTTTGACCCTGTGAGACAGAAGGATTTTATTTAAATCTGTGATTTAAATATTGCCCTCAATCAAGTTAATGTTAGATTTTCATGTTTTATGGGGACCTTCCATATAGACATAATGATTTTTATACTGTACAAACTGTATATTCTACCCCCTATAGCATGTTTACGTCACCCATCACAGAAAACTTTCTGCATTTTTACAATAAAATAAAATTCTGTATGATTTATATGCCATCTTTGTGGGGTTATTTAAGATTATTCTTTTTTATAGAAGGATTTTTTTTAAATCTGTGATTTAAATATTGCCCTCAATCAAGCCCTGTATGTGAAACCAGGCCTATATGTGCGGTTAATGAAGGTAATTTATTAATCTTGGCTTACGCAAACATGCTGTCGATTTAGTTGCATAGTGACCTTAAAAATGCTTGTTTAAAGATTTCTTAACTTATGTTAAATAAATTATATTCAAATTTTTGTAAATAAGACATTGATATCAGTGTTACATTTGATTAAATCTGAGAGCAAATCTCAAGTGTAGGCTGCTTATGGATACATATTTTCTCACCTGATTTTTTTTTCAATCTATCTCGTTTTAAACGCTAGATGGCGGTCTTGTATCATTGAATGATCTGCACACTAACATGCCTTTCATCTACCGTAGTTTGCTCTACTGTAACCGCAAAGTACTCAAATTAAACATTTTTGTAATTAAAGAAAACACTAATCTTACCAATTTAACATTTTTATATATTCTGTTAGTTACACAAAGAATGAATGGTAACCGATATACAATTCACTTCAACACATCAGCAAGGAAAAAGGCCAAAGACAGACAACACACCCCAAAAGACTGCTATCAAATTCAGAGCTTTATTAGACATTGTAGGAACATTGAGAGCTTTTCAGCAGCTTGTGAAACTGCTTGGGAGGAAGAGATCAAAACAAAGACAAACCAACAAATAAGGAAACTGAACAGAAAAACAGTGAACAAGAACTTGAGCGTCAACTCTTTATGCCCGAAGTGATAAAATAAAACAAAATTCTGTATCAAAATGTATAGGCAAGAAAAGTAGTTTGTTTAGGCTGGGTTGTATGAATTACAAACCTGCGCAAATATTTTAAAAAGCACATAACTATAGAATTCTGAATGAGCATGTGAACGCCGTCTGCGTTAATCACAGGTTCGCGTTTAAAGTCTGATCATTTCGACGGAGGTGAATCAATCAAAGTTAACTTTAGCTGGAAGTAACATTATTCAAGAACCGCTATAACGCCAAAACAATCTGTTACCTTAAATTATATGTTTATCTCTGTAAAGCTGCTTTGAAACAATCCATTGTTAAAAGCGCTATATAAATGAAGATGACTTGACTATGCAAGCTCCTCCTCTCCCTCTTCCTCAAACTCTCCCTCCTCTTCGGCAGTGGCGTCTTGGTACTGCTGGTACTCTGACACCAAGTCATTCATGTTGCTCTCGGCTTCCGTGAACTCCATCTCATCCATCCCCTCACCCGTATACCAATGCAAGAAGGCCTTGCGCCTGAACATAGCGGTGAACTGCTCAGAGATGCGCTTGAACAGCTCCTGGATGGCGGTGCTGTTGCCGATGAAAGTGGCTGCCATTTTGAGACCACGAGGCGGTATGTCGCACACGGCGGTCTTGACATTGTTGGGGATCCACTCCACAAAATAGCTGCTGTTCTTGTTCTGGACATTCAGCATCTGCTCATCCACTTCCTTCATAGACATGCGGCCTCGGAAAATGGCGGCCACGGTGAGATAGCGACCATGGCGGGGGTCACAAGCAGCCATCATGTTCTTGGCATCGAACATCTGCTGTGTGAGCTCAGGAACTGTAAGAGCTCGGTATTGCTGACTCCCCCTGCTGGTGAGGGGGGCGAAGCCTGGCATGAAGAAATGCAGACGGGGGAAAGGCACCATGTTGACGGCCAGTTTGCGCAGGTCAGCATTGAGTTGGCCGGGGAAGCGCAGGCAGGTGGTGACCCCGCTCATTGTGGCTGACACGAGGTGGTTGAGATCGCCGTAGGTTGGTGTAGTGAGTTTGAGTGTACGGAAGCAAATGTCATACAGCGCCTCGTTGTCGATGCAAAACGTTTCATCCGTGTTCTCCACCAGTTGATGGACGGACAGCGTGGCATTGTAAGGCTCTACAACAGTGTCTGAGACTTTAGGTGAGGGCACCACGCTGAAGGTGTTCATGATGCGGTCTGGGTACTCCTCACGGATTTTGCTAATGAGGAGCGTGCCCATGCCTGACCCGGTGCCTCCTCCAAGGGAGTGGGTGAGCTGGAAGCCTTGCAGGCAGTCGCAGCTTTCCGCCTCCTTACGGACCACATCAAGAACAGAGTCTACAAGCTCAGCACCTTCTGTGTAATGACCCTTGGCCCAGTTGTTTCCAGCACCACTCTGACCTATGATTGAAAAGAATTACAGATTATACAAGGCTCAAATTAAACATCAAGAATTTAACATTCAGTCAAATGGCATATGAAAACAGGCTTACCAAAGACAAAGTTATCTGGTCGGAAGACCTGCCCAAATGGTCCAGATCTCACCGAATCCATAGTTCCAGGCTCCAGGTCGACAAGAACAGCACGAGGAACATACTTTCCACCTGTCGTAGTAAAGTGCACATTTCCACTCTTAACGTAAAAATTTTAATGCCACTTTTTCTGTGTTTTAATACATCACAAACGCAAACTGACCAGTGGCTTCATTGTAGTACACATTAATCCGCTCCAACTGCAGATCACTGTCCCCATGGTAAGTTCCTGTCGGGTCAATTCCGTGCTCATCACTAATCACCTCCCAAAACTGACCACACAGAAGAAAAGGAGTCAATATCAACAATTATATCACCTTAAACGTCTTCAAAAATTATTTAATTTTTAGCGGCCACTTTTGAAGTGTTGTCACGGCAACTTGCAAAACTACAAACAGGGTTTAGGGAAGAAAAAAAAAACGATAACGTTAGCTCGGTAGTTACTCATCTTAGCAGATGTTATTTTTCTTTAGAAAAGCACAGTTAAATATTAATATTCAGTTATAATTAGTTCTACACATGATAACTAGACAACACACAGACTAAAGTTATGCCCCTCGCGACAGGCCTTTAGCTTACTGGCCTAACGTCGTAATCAATAATACCCTTAACTGTTACTCACTTTGGCACCGATTTGGTTTCCACATTGACCAGCCTGCAGGTGAACAATTTCTCTCATGTTGAATCGTTAAGGAAAAAAGCACTTTCTCATTAAAAAACAAATGTAGTGAACTCTCTCCCACCGCGCGTCGTCTAAACTCTGCAAAGCCCAGCGAACGGTTTTCACTTTTAAATAACGCCAACCTTCGCATTCAAACACAGGTGGATGAACGAGACGTCAATCATTATCCGTCCGCTTTTGATTGGTCGAGGAACCCGCGCTCTCTTGGAGCTTCTGCTTTTGATTGGATTAGAGATGTTGTAATCTGTTGCCAATGGTTACAACGCGGATCACATTTCACACAGAAACCGTTTTGTATTGGTAACCAGAGACCTGCTCGAATAGAAGAATCGTGTTACCAAGCAAGCACACCTACCTACACCAAACAGTAGATTGCATGTTTGGACTTGTTAATTTGTTACATATACAGTACACTGAATGCGTTTGCTATAATATTATATCATATTTTAAATCAGCTTCATACCAGCTCAAATTCATATGAGAAAAAAAGGAATTAACTGAAGTAACTTAACTGTATTAAGAAGTTTTGCTGGCATTTGAAATCTTTAAAAAGCATAAGTGTGTCATGGCTGGGGGAGTTACTTGTAAAGACATGCTCTTTTTCAAGTAATTTATGTTACTAATTAAAAACATCTTTGGCCAACATTTAGAAGCCAAAAGGGTACATTTTCCTTGTCAGACTGTGTTATGTTAATGGTTTCGCATATTGTTGGACTTTTCATGGTAATATTAACCATTTTCATGTTTGATATATGGACTGTCAGTGGAGCGTAAGCACATCGAATGAAAATATATGAACGAGATTACAAATTCATACAAATGATTCACCAAAATGTAAAATAGTAACAATTGGCCTATTTTGCTGTAGTGCAAGTATCACTGCCCACATCCTAATCTGCTCATTGTTTAAGATATGGATCTTTTCAAATAGAGATCACAAAAAATGTATAGCCCACTTCCTACAGTACGTCTTTGTATTTTCTGAATAAGAGAACAAACCCTACACCTCCATTAGTTGACCCATTCTGATAAAGATTTATAGCTGTTGATGAAAAGAACTGAATGAGAGTTTGATATCTTTGACCCTGTTTCACCTCTTTATTTAAATCGACACAAACTTGACAATATACACAGGGACAGACACTCATAAATATAAATGCTAAAAAGAATAAAGTACTTAGACAGTAAATTGTTCCTTGCTGATGCAAATTTCCAATACAACCAAGTATTTGTGTATAGGCCAATATTGTGCTGCCATCCCTGAAGCACTGAGTGTCTCAGCACAAGTGGGATGCGCAGCATCGATTAATTAATTATGAATGTCTGAGGTGTCATACATCCTTATAGAGGGCATTCAGTTCATGCATGCAATGACAGAAGCACACGTAGGCTGAATAGAACGAAATAGGATTAATGACGAAGGCATGCAGAATGAATTTCAACAGCAGAGCTTACGATGCATTATGCATTATAGTTGTTGCTGTATAACATACAACATTTGTATTAAAATAATCAAGTCTACTCATCAGCATTTTGACAGACCACAAAAAAAGGTCAAAATCATGTTATTAGATTAAAGGACCCAAGACTCTATGACATAACTGGATAGTTTTTTTAAGCCTATATAACATAGCAAAACTGTTTCATCAGTAATAATAATAATAAGAAATGTTTCTTGAGCACCAAATCAGCATTATAATGATTCCTGAAGGATCATGCGACTATGAATTTTGGAAAATGTCTGCGGAAAATTCAGCTTTGCCATCACAGGAATAAATTACATTTTAAAATATATTAAAATAGAAAACAGTTATTTTAAATTGTAGTGATATATTCAGCCTTGGCGACCATTTAAAAACATTAAAAATACTTACCGGCCCCCAAAATTGTGAACGATATTGTAGGTTTCCGAGATATTAGTAGTTATTGTTTGATATTAAATAATGTGTGTCCTCTGCTCAATATGTAGCAAGGCTCATGAAAACTAGGGAACTGGTGTGAGGTACTCCCTCAGGGATTGGGAAAGTCTGAACTTGACAGGTTGTCTGTGCATGTGTGTAAGTAAAACTATGCACTGCATAATTGATTAGCATTCAAAGTGTAGCAACACTGGCAGCAGCTGCCTTGCACGCACGCACACACGCACGCACACACGCACACACGCACGCACACACGCACGCACACACACATACACACACTTTGAATACACAAAAGTGGGACATAAGAAAGAATACCTTCCTGCCGCTTTTGACCTGAAACACTGTGATTTCACCTTTTTTTAAGTTGAGACACATAAATATATAAATATTTTTTAGTCTCGTGTACCAGATACTCAGGTTTACAGGTTATTTTGGCAAGGCTTGACCCTGTTTTCATTCCCTTACTGTTGCTGGTGATCCCTAGAAGGAAAGATAACCTAGCTGGAAAGCATCCTCCTCCAAGCACAACAAAAACAGCTCTATAGAAACGGCAGCAGTACTATAGAAACTCTCCCGACACTGTAACTGTTGCCTCATTCAACTGTAAGTAGTACTATATATTCATGGCCAAGGAAACTCAAAACAAAGCTGATTTTTCTGTTTGTGGACTATTTAACATGTATACTCTGATGTGATAAAAAAGCAAAAAACAGGAAACTTCTGTGTTTTGTTGTCGTATATCTCTCTGAAAGACACTGAGAAGGAAAATAATAACTTAAGTACTTAGAGAAATTTAGATTAGTATGTTTATATCCTTGTTCTTTTGCAGTTAGGATAGACCCAAAAACACCATCAAGTCAAATTTTATTAACAAATGCATGGACCTAAAGGCTAATTATATTATTGATAAAGTAGTTTTATTATTTTAGTTTTGGCCAAAGTGTGCTGAAATGTCAACCATAAAGGTATATACATTTCAGTTTATCAGACAATTTGTTTGACCTTGTTTGAATTGAATTGTTTGACCTTCATGTTATTCATGAATGAGGGCATCTATAAATGAATATAAGAGCGCCGTCTCATGTGTCTCCAGCAACACAATGTGATAAGATGTTCACACAACATGACACCTCGGCATTTCAGTTTTGCATTTCCGCCCAAGCTCTCTGGGGCTGTGCAAGAAAAGGATTCACATCTAGATGCAAAATGACAGTGATTTGTGTATGAGAATGCAATTTATACGATTGTGCTTGAGTTTTTGGGGAAGAGGAAGACTTGTTAGCATTTCAGTATCTTTATATATCTGATGAAAGCTGAAGTTTAGGATATGAAAATATATAATATTAAATTGTTGTTTATAAAATAATTTTTGTCACATGATTATCAATCACACCTTAGACTGCATTTAAGATAAATAACTACATGGACAGAACATTTGCATTCATTTAATGATTATTTTATGTCAAAATATATGCTGATTTTTATTTATTTATCACACCTTCTTTCTATATAAGTAATTTCCCATTTAAAAATTCCTGTATCATTCAAGAGTACATATACACACTCTCTCTTATAACAGTCAATGGGTGGATATCCACTTCACAAAGAATGAGAAATGAGAAATTATTTATATGTATATCAGAACCATTAAAACAAGCATATTGTCAAAGGTGTAGTTGACATTTGTGAACTGATGTTTTTGTACATGCAATATATTCTGTTGACTGACTTTCTGTTTACTACGGAGCCCCCCTAGTCCCACTTTGTAAAAAAAAAATGTATTATAACTATCTCGTGGCCTCAAGATAAATAACTCGTGGCCTCAAGATAGTAACTCGTGGCCTCAAGATAGTAACTCGTGGCCTCAAGATAGTAACTCGTGGCCTCAAGATAGTAACTCGTGGCCTCAAGATAAGTATCTCGTGGCCTCAAGATAGTAACTCGTGGCCTCAAGATAAGTAACTCGTGGCCTCAAGATAAGTAACTCGTGGCCTCAAGATAGTAACTCGTGGCCTCAAGATACTATCTCGTGGCCTCAAGATAGTAACTCGTGGCCTCAAGATAGTAACTCGTGGCCTCAAGATAGTAACTCGTGGCCTCAAGATACTATCTCGTGGCCTCAAGATAGTAACTCGTGGCCTCAAGATAAGTAACTCGTGGCCTCAAGATAAGTAACTCGTGGCCTCAAGATAGTATCTCGTGGCCTCAAGATAGTAACTCGTGGCCTCAAGATAAGTAACTCGTGGCCTCAAGATAGTAACTCGTGGCCTCAAGATAAGTAACTCGTGGCCTCAAGATAGTATCTCGTGGCCTCAAGATAGTAACTCGTGGCCTCAAGATAAGTAACTCGTGGCCTCAAGATAGTATCTCGTGGCCTCAAGATAGTAACTCGTGGCCTCAAGATAAGTAACTCGTGGCCTCAAGATAGTATCTCGTGGCCTCAAGATAGTAACTCGTGGCCTCAAGATAGTAACTCGTGGCCTCAAGATAAGTAACTCGTGGCCTCAAGATAGTAACTCGTGGCCTCAAGATAGTATCTTGTGGCCTCAAGATAGTAACTCGTGGCCTCAAGATAGTATCTCGTGGCCTCAAGATAGTAACTCGTGGCCTCAAGATAGTATCTCGTGGCCTCAAGATAGTAACTCTATCTTGAGGCCAAGAGTTAAAGGTTCTCTAAGCGATCCTGGGTGACGTCACTTCTTGTTGACGTTCGAACTATTGTCAAACAAAACGGAGGCTAGCTAGACCCTCCCTCCTCCTCATCCGCACACTAACCCCCCAAACCACACCCCCAAACCCTTCTTGTCGGTCATTGGCTGGAACAGTTTGTTATGTTTCGGGGAGCGGGTCGCCGCAGTTTGTTTTTGTTGCTGTTTGTGGAGACTGGGCTGTCTACAGAGATCGCGTTTCTTTACAGTGTGTTCAGGGGACAGGCAGCCAGCGGATAGTGAGGAGATGTTTGCTGTATGTGACAAAAAATGTTTTGGCCTAAAAAACGCGTGACATCGCTTAGAGCACCTTTAATATCTTGAGGCCACGAGATACTATCTTGAGGCCACGAGATAGTTATAATAAATTTTTTTGACAAAGTGGGACTAGGGGGGCTCCGTAGTTTACAAATGAATAATAACAGATAAATTCCCACATTCTGATTTTTTTAATTATTGCTGTTCATTAGTAAAATGGATAAAACCTTCTTAATCTTTCTTATTCAGCAGATCACCTCCCAGCAGGTTTGACATTATCCTGGAAGTAGCCAGGGTTGGTGATGTTGCCAGCAGGTTTGTAAAAGGCCACAGTGATGAACTTGCCCTTTCCATCTGATGCCAGGCCGACCCCAACCTGGTCTGTAGACCTCCAGATCATCTGGGTG